TTATTTAAAGATTTAACAAGTACTACATTAAAAGTTATGTTTGATGTATTAGTTAGTATGAGTATAACAAGTGAATGTGGATATGGACAAGGAATGAGTGATATAGTAGCATTAATTATACAAGTTACATATTCAGAATTTGAAGTATTTTATTTATTTCAAGGAATACTTGAATTAGTAAAAGAATTTTATGGAGAAGAAGGAAGAATATCATCAGATAAAATGATGAATGTAGGAAATATTATTTGTGTTGTAGATGAAGAATTTGGAGAATATTTGAATAAATACAATATTACGTTTGAATTTATTGTTAAATGGTTATTGATGTTATTTAAACGAGAGTTTTGGTCAAAAGAAGTATTACGATTATGGGATAGTTTTATTTCATTTCCAAAAGACAAATTATATCTATTCTTATCAGCAACAATTCTCATCAAAAATAGATTAGAAATCATGAACAGTCAGATGAGATTTGATGATTTGTTTATTTGGACACTCAAATTAGAACATAAAATTCCATTGCAATATATTTATGATGCAGACAATTTATTATATGAATTTAGAATGAAAGCAACACCAGAACAACAAAAAAGAGTATTTAATTAAAATATTTTTTTTTGAGTTTGAAATAGAAAATAATAATTGTTTTAAGAAGAAGAACTTAAAATGATAAAGAATTAAAGTCAAATGACAAAAGAATTAATAAATGAAGTTAATAACCTAAAACAACAAATAGAATTATTAAAAAAAGAAATGAAAGACCAATCATTAATTACAAGACAAATGTTATGGTTTGGTGATTATAGTTTTTATAGTGAACATTTAGTATTTGATAAGACAACTCTTACTATCAGTTGTCCAAAAAATGTCAAAGTATCTTATTGTAATATTATTTTATATATTCCAATTAAAAAATTCACTGTTCGAGTATTAAATGGTAATGTATGTATTGGATTTGTAACTGTTAAAGAACCAATTGATTTAAATAGAGCAGTAAAACCATCATTATTACATGTATTATATTATGATGGAGTATATATGGGAGATGATAGGTCTCTTCAACGGTCATCATTTGGTTTACAAGATGGAGTTATCACTGTTAGTTATAATGAAAAAACTAAATTTATTACTTTTCAATGTAATGATGTTGAAGAAAAAGGGTTTAAAGGAGTTGAAGAAAATAATTTGTATCCACTTCTTTCATTTAAACCAGACACTGTGGTTCAAGTATTATAAAACATCAACTTACTAACAAATAACAAATTAAAAAGAATCTCAACAAAATTTAATTAAATATTAATATATTTAATATATTTTTACTATAATTTATTATTTTGAATTATTTATAAAAAAAAAAAATAGAAAAGACAAAAATGGAAAATGAACTTTAAAAAGTAAATAAAATAGTACGAAAGAATGTCAAATATTTATCAGACTTGTCCTTCACAATTCTATAAACAATTTAGAATTGCTAAACAATTAGCACAACACCAAAATGGAATGGTTCTTCCTATTCAACAACATACTCCTCTAAATGTTGGTTATTTACAACCACCTCCTCAACAACAACAAGTTCCAATACGAAGACAATATATTAGTCAAACACTTAACTCAAAAGATTATCAAAAAATGGCAAAACAAGCACAAATTTATAATAATAATCCAAGAAATATTCCTATAGCTGGTATGGTTTATCAAGAAAATCCATATGCTCAAATACAACAACAAAGAAGACAACAACGTGGAGATCGTAGTCGATTAGCAGAAATTAGAAGTCAAATTGAAGCATTAAATGCAGAAGTTGCAGAGATTTGTATGAGAAATAAAGGGAATGATGAATTACCAAATCTAAGAACTGGTGTTGTAGCACCAAATCCAATGGCAATGAAATATGGAAGAATTCCACAAAGAGTTCATGTTCAAGACGATATGCCAGATCCAGTATATGATCCATATTTAATAGATAATACATTCTTCTCACCATCAATGTCACCATCTTCTTTTACTCAAACATACCAACAACCAGATGATGATTTCTATGGTGATGATTGGGAAAATGAAGATGGATTTTCAATGACTCAACCAATTCAAATGCAACCAATTCAAACTGCTCGTCCTGTTGCTATAAGACAAGCTCAACCTATTTATATTCAACCCACTCAACCACAATTTGTTCCTGTCAGACCAATACAACCTCAAGTACAATACATTAATCCTTATCGTAATCGTACAAATAATAGATATGTTCAACGACAAAATATTCAACCAATGATCCAACAATTACCTCAACAACAAGTTCAATACGTTGCACCAGTTCAATGGGAACCAGTGAATTATTCATATTATCAATGAACTAAGTTGTGAATGTCTTTTAATATTATTTTGTTTTTGTTTCTTTCTCTTAGAAAATTAGGTTTATATTCATTTTCTTTTCACTTTAAAGATTTTATTTCTTTTTCAATTGAACTGTCAATTTTATTTAATTTCTTTTTCATAAAATAACATGACTTTTAATACCATTAAAAAATTACCAATTCTTATTAGAAATGCAGCACTTATTGCTGTTACTACAATTCTTGTTTGTTATATTTTATCAACATTCTTTAATCATTATCCATCAAGTGTAATACTACCATTCATTTCATTAACAGGTTATAAAGCACCAGAATATTATTTATATTCAATTGGATTTTGTATAACAGGTATATTATTTTTATATTGTTCATATCACATTCATTTTTCTGTTTTACCAATTACTGAATTATTTTCTGAACAACAAATTATTAAATTATTCATTACATTATCATCAGGAGTTATTTGTTTTATGATTCATGCAATTATTCCATTACAAGATGATATTATTTCATCAACTCATTTAACATTAGGAAGTAGAATTCATCAAAGTTGTGCAGGAATATTTTTCATGTTAGTTATAATACATACATTTTACATATTCAACATTCTCAAAGATAAGAAAAATGTTTTTTCTTATTTTGATGAACGTGCAATGAATTTTAGAAAATGGTGTTGTAATGGATGTGGAATTACTATTATATTAGCAATGGCAATTCATCCTACAACAATTTCTATCTTTGGTAGTGTTGCAATGAAATGTTTGTTATTTAATTTAAATGAAATAATGAATTATGTTATTAATACTTTAGTTGTTGTTTCTGTTGCAGCTATTGCTCAATGGATACTTGTTGGATTTATCATTTTAATTTTTGTTTCCTATTCAATGGATATTACCAAAATTTTACCACGAATCTATGAGAAAGAACATATAACTAAGTAATTAATCTTTTTTTTTGAATAATACTCTCTTTCTCTTGTTTTTTTTTTCTTTTTCATATTAGTATTGTTTATTGTTTGGTTTTTATCCATTTAAGTTATGTGTCTTTGAATAAATCATCAATAATGATTATTTCTTCTTTTAGTATAAAAGAAATTGAGTATTAATTAGTTGAAGGAGAATGGAAAAGAAAAAGATTCAACCTTATGACTACTTCAATGTTATTATAATATATTAATAATAATGAATGTTGAATCAACCAATTACCACTTGAAAATTAACCAATTCTTTTTTCTTAATTTGTTACACATTAAATAAGAAATGGATAAACCTTCAATCAATTAATAAGTTCAAATGCTTGGTCAATGTATGGTTTTGATCGTTCAATTCCAATTGGATATTCTCCATTCCACTCAGTTTCATTATTGAGATATAATGAGTACAATACTTCATATGGTGTTACTGTTGGAATATCACCTTCAAATTTCAATTCAGATAAATCAGAACCAAGAACAATAGCAATATCAACTTGTCCACTATAATTCAATAATTTATTTTCTGGATTACCCATGAAGACAGTGATAACATGATATTCTTTCATCAATAAACTTCTTAATTTTTTAAATGACTCAGAGTTGTCTAATTAATGAATTTCTTTTTTAGAGTATTTAATGAAAAGATAAACAAACACCAATCAGGATCAAGAAGTAAAAGCATAAATGTTGTTGCACTTCTAATTTTATCAAATAATGAATATCTATTCATTACATATTTCATTGTTTCTTTGGAACAATCAATTTCTTCTCCATTGACAATATTAATTTTCTTAATATTCATTGGATTGAAATATAACTGGAATGGCATTGAATTAAATGTCTCACTTCCATAGATAATTACTACTTTATTGATGTTCTATATTTTATAAATTATCTTTTCATACAACATAAATTAAATAATAACAAACATTTTTTATTGCTTTTTCTCTAATAATTAATGCATCTTTCATATCAACTACTAAATACTCTTTGTTTAAAGACTTCATAAAACTATATTTTTCCATTAATGAAGGTTCTACAATGATAATAGTAACATTATCAATTGGAATTGATTGAATAGCAGGAATATTTAATGGATAAATATAGACATTATTTCGTTGTTCACAAATTCCTCCAACTTCAACTACCAAAGTTTTATCATCTTTTTGGAATTGTTTAAATGAATGTTCAGAACATGATTGATATGGTGTATGAAGTATAGCAATTGTATTAATTAATGGAAGTAATGCCATATGAATTTGAGCTGATAACTCTCTATATTCAGGAGATGTACAATTTATTACAACTCGTTGATATTTTGGTAATATTCCAGCAAGTGAAGGAGGGAGGGTTATAGCCATTGTGACAATTTACTGAATTACTAAGATCACCATTCGTCTCATTCTTCTTTTCAATTTCTTTTTTGATTAAAAAACCATAAATTATAATATTATTATTCACATTGAATTTACAGTACATAATTTGTCCATAACAATACCTTTTATTAATTAAATCAATAACATAGTATTGTTAGTACTTTTAACAACAGCAGAATAATTTAGTGAAAATATTTACATTGAATATAACAAGATATATGAATGAAATAAAAAAATATATTTGATAGGAATAACTAATGAAATTAATGCAATTATTTGTTGAAGAAATAAGAAAATATTGAAGAATAAGTAATTAATATGTTTTTTAGATAACACTGAAAATAGATTTTAGTTAGAATTTGCAGATCTATTTGAAAAAGAGTTCCAAATTATGACACAAGTTACTACAAGTCTTGTTGCTAAGTCAAAAGGATATACTTGCATTCCAAATGAAATAATGAAACTTAAACATTCATTAAAAAGTCTTGATTTGAGTTTAAATCAAATTAATGTATGTTATTTATAATTTATAGACATAACACAATAAGAATAACTCACTCATTATTATAGTCTATAGAACCATCATTCTCAAATTTTTCATTATTAACTCTCCTTCGATTAAGAGGAAATAATATTAATAAGTTTCCTGATCCAATTCTTGATCTTCAATCATTAAAATGTCTTGATTTATCCAATAACCATATTACATCTATTCCACCAAATATTGTTTGTTTAAATAATTTATCTGAATTGATTATGGGTCAAAATAATCTGACATCTCTTCCAAAAGAAATTGGAATAATGACAACTCTTGTAAATATCACATTACCAGCAAATAACTTAAAAGAATTACCATTAGAAATATGTTCATTAACAAAACTAACATTTGTTTGTTTTAATTTTTTTTTT